TTTTACTTAATAGGATTCTTTTTAAAAATAAGATTCTTTTTCTCACTTTTATCTCCTCCTCATCTTTCATTGCCTGATTTTTCAAATTTTTATTCTAAATTCTCCCAATCTCCACTCCATCTTTTTTTTTTTTCTGTTTTTGGTTTTTTGAGACAGGTTCGCACTATGTACTTCAGGCTGGTCTATGTAGTGCAGGGGGGCCTCAAACTGACAGCAATCCTCCTGCCTCAGCCTCCTGAGTGCTGAGATTACAGGCATGTGCCACCACACCCGGCTTCCCTCTATCATCTTTACTAGTATAACCATGAAGCTTTATTAATCTTAGATAGCTAGCTCTGCTATTTCTGTTGAATTCTTTTACATTGTTAGTGGAGGTAAAGTTGTTTCATTTAGTACATATTTACTATATGTCAATATTTGATTTGTCTTAGTGTTTATACTATAATTACAGATCTCTTTTCTATTGTTCAAGGTGATTCATTATCTATTCTTAGGGCATATTAACATCCAATTTGTCTTTGAATGTTACTATTGTTGGTGATTTAGTTGCTATTGCCAGGGTGGCATAGTTGTTGCTATTAATAGGTTTTTCTGTGTATACCAATATCCGGATTGCCTATGTGTCATTAACAACACTCTGGTCCATTCCTAGAGAACTGGGAGCTGGGCCAACTACACTTCATCCTCCTCTCCCAAATTAATGGAGATAGTTGAGTCTTGGGACAGAGGCAAAGGCCTGTAGCTAGCCATGCCCAAAGTGCATCACCGAAAAGCAGACACTAAATAAAGAAATCCCCTTACTAAGCACAAAGTCTTTGAAGTGTAAGCACCTGGAAACATGAGTACACACACACACACACACACACACCATAACAAAAGAAACATGAAAAGACAAGGCAACAAAATGCCTCCAAAAACTACCAACTCTCTTGGGGCATTGAGAAGGAGGAAATAAAAAGCCACATAGTTGAATTATTCAAAATGATAAAAGAAGAGATTAAAACCAGATCAATAGTTTGCTCGGCAAGCTCAAGAAGATATAACTAAACTAATGGACTTAATGAATGAAACAGTCAACAGCCAGGCATGGTGGTACACGCTTGTAATCTCAGCACTCAGGAGGTTGAAACAGGAGGATTGGTGCAAGCTGAAGCCAGCCTGGACTACATAGTGAGTTCAAGAACAGGCTGAGCTACATAACGAGAAACAAAACAACTCCAAAAGAACCAGTCAACAAGTTTACAGAAAATACTAAAAAACTAGATGACCTAAACAAAATAATACAAAACATGAATGACTAGTTTGGAAAATAATTTGAGTCTATGAAAAGGAACCAAACAGAAATCAAAGAGATTAAAAACTATTGAATGTATGAGGATCAGAAGTGACCAATGTGCTGGGTATGGTGGTGCACACCTGTAATCCCAGCACTCAGGAGGCTGAGGCAGGAGGATCTCCATGAGTTCAAAGCCAGCTTGGGCTACATAGTGAGTTCAAGGCCACCCTGAACTGCATAGTGAGGCCCTGTCTCAAAGATAAATAAATAAATTTTTTTAAAGTGACCAGTGTGAGTTTAGAATGTCAGAACCAGAAGATAGGGCTGGTGTCAGTGACCAGTTATCAGAGGTACCTTGAAAACAACAAAAGAACATGAAAATGGATCCAACAGCTGAGAGACGATGCAAAGAAGATTAATATTTATTCAAATTCATGAAAAATCAAAAAATAAAGACAGAAGTGGCATAGAAAAACCTGTCTGCAGAAAACTTCCTAAATATGGGGAAAGAATTTAACATATGGCTAAGTGAAACATACAGAATCCCAAATAGCCAAGATCAGAAAAAAAACTTTCCCAAGACACATCTTAGTCCGAATCTGAGAAGTCCAACACAAGGATAGAGTCTTAAAAGCTGTTAGAGAAAAGCAATGAATCACTTATGAGTTGATTTCTTCATCTCCTGTATATGTCCTGTACACATCCCTTTTGTGTTTTCTCTGATAAGAAGAGGCAAAGAAAGCCACTACATACCAGTTGAGGGAACCATTAAACAGGAAGAGATAACAATTCTAAACATATATGCACCAAACACTGGCACACCCAACTTCATAAAACAAACATTACAGGACATAAAAGGTCAGATAAATACCAACACAGTCATAGTGGGAACCTTAGTACCACAGTGTCAATAGATCAAATAGACAAAGAAATCAACAAAGAAATATCAGAGGTGAACCAGACCTCTGAACAAATGGTCTTCACAGATATCTATGGAGTGTTCCACCTAACAACAGGACATGGGATTTTCTCTAAAATAGACCAAATACTACCCAACAAAGTATTTTTAAAAAAAATTTGTGACATAGGGTCTTGCTATGCACCTCAGGCTTGAACTTGAAGCAATCCTCCACCTCAGCCTCCCAAGTGCTGGGATTACAGAAATGTGCCACCACGCCTGGTCAATAAAGCATCTTTAAGTAAGTACAAAAGAATAAAAATTGTACCATGGATGTTATCAGATCATAGTGCAATGAAACTAGAAATTAAAGGCAAAAGAAACCATAGAAATTAAGCAAATGCATAGAAATTAAACAATACTCTTTTGAATAATCAATGGGTCACATAAAAAACCAAGGAAGAAATTAATTCATGGAATCAAACAATAATCCCAGTACAACATACCAGAATTTATGGGACACAATGGAAACAGTCCTAAGAGGGAAGTTTCTATCTGTGAAGGTCTGCATCAGAAAAACAGAACAAGTCCAAATAAATAACCTCATAATTCACCCTCCTAGAAAAACAAGAGTGATTCAAATCCAAAGCTAGTAAAAGGAAGAAACTTACAACGATCAGAGCAGAAATTAATGAAATTGAGAAAAAATACAACGACTCAATTGAAGAGCTGGTTCTTTGAAAGACTAAACACAATAGACAAACCCTTAACCAATCTTACAAAAAAAAAAAAAAGGAAAGGAAAGACACAAACCAATGCGATTAGAAATTTAAAAGGCAATATCACAATGGACACTGCCAAAATCCGGAAAAATTTTACTACTTTGAGACCCTATACTACAATAAATTGGAGAATCTAGAAGAAATAGATTCCTATATACATATAAATTGCCAAAATGAACCAAGAAGATATAAAAACTCTGAATAGTCTAATAACAGGCAATGACATTGAAGCAGTATTAAAAAACCTACTAGGGCTGGGGATTTAGCTCAGTGGTTCTGCCGCCTGCCTCGAAAGGGCAAGTTCCCCAGTTTGATCCCCAGTACCAAAAACAAAACAAAACAAGATACTGGCAAACAGAATGCAACAAATCATCAAGAAGATCATACCCCGTGACCCAGTAGGATTCATCCCAGTGAACCAGGGCTGGTTCAACACATGCAAATCAATAAATGTGACACACCAAACAGAGCCAAGGACAGAAATCACGTGATCATCTCAATAGACTCAGAAAAAGCCTTTGATAAAATCCAGCATCCATTCATGATAAAGACCCTAAGAAAAATAGGTATAGAAAGACCTTATCTCAAAGGGATAAACACTATTTTTGACAGGTCAATGGCCACCATCATAATAAATGGGGAAAGCTGAAAGCTTTCCCTCTAAAATCAGGAACAAGTCAAGGATGTCCAATCACTTCTGTTCAATATAGTACTTGAAACATTTTCCAGAACAATCAGACAAGAGAAAGAAACAAAAGAGAAATGTACAAGGAAGGAAGAAGTCAAATTATCATGACACGACTCTCTATGTACATACAAGACCCAATAAAGTCCACCCAAAGGCTCCTGGAATTAATAACAAAATTCAGTAACATAACAGGATACAAAGTCAACAGAGAAAAATCAATAGCATTCCTTTACACTAATAATGAACTGATTGAGAAGGAAATGACAAAAACAGTACCATTCATAGTAGCATCAAGGACAGGCCGGGGATGTAGCTCAGCGGCACCACACCTGCCCCGCAAGCACAAGGTCCTGTGTTTGATCCCCAGTAACAAAAAGAAATCGCACCTGGGGAAATTTCTCATAGTAACATCAAGGAAAACGTTTGCCATCTATTCCTTGGACAGAGGACTAAAATCTAGAATAAATAAAGAACTCAAGAAATCAGACACCCCAAAACAAAGACCAAATCAAAAATGGGTAACTGAAATGTAT